TCTCTCTGCTCATGTGAGGATATTTCTATTGCTCGTGTGACATAACCTTGTCTGAAGATAAACAGCCAGAGAAAGAGACAGAGTCAGAGACAGAGAAGAGAGAGAGAGAGAGAGAGAGAGAGAGAGAGAGAGAGAGAGAGAGCCAGAGACAGACAGACACACACACACAGAGAAAGAGAGAAAGACAGAGCGAGAGAGAGAGGGGAAACGGAAGAGAGGGCGAGAGAGAGACCAAGAACACTTCAGAGTAAGGTCTTAGGGAGCAGGGGTGTAATGTATATTACATGTAAACAACAGCTAAGCAAAGAACCTCGCATATTTTTCTCTGCCCATCAGTTCCCTGACACCCTGTAATAGATTGTAAACAGGACCATTAGAATGACCGCCTTGTTTTTTTATTACCAGATACTGGAAGTCTCTTGCAAGCCATGTCATGCGAAGTACAATAAAACATTTACCTGTGGTTTGGAGCTCAACTGGGCATATTGTACTTACTTTGCTTAGCTGTTGTTTACATGTAATATATTACACCCCTGCTCCTTAAGACCTCACTTTGAACTCTTCTTGGTCTCTCCCTCTCTCTCCCTCCCTCGCTCTTTCTCTCTCCCTCTCTCTCGCTTTATCTTTCTCTCTTTCCCTGTGTGTGTGTGTGTCTCTCTGTCCCTGGCTCTCTCTCTTTTTCTCTCTTTTTCTCTCCCTCTTCTCTGTCTCTGCCTCTGTCTCTTTCTCTGTCTCTCCCCCTGTCTCTCTCTCTCTCTCTCTTTCATTCTGTCACTCTCCCCCTCCCTCCCTCACTTTCTTCTTCCGTCCCTCACTCTCACTATACGTACGTCTCTCACTCTTTTATCCCATCCCTACTCTTCACATGAACATAAGAATCTCACTGCCCCATCACATCATGGTATTACCAACCACTGCATATACCTGTGTGAAATCTTCAGTACATACCTTGTTGCGTGAATCCACTACTCTCAGACCGTCCCCACTGATATGAAGTCCAGATTTTATCTTCTTTCTACGTTGATGCTACAATCCAGAAAATATAAACAATCAACTAATATCCTTTAAGACAGGAGTATCATTCACTCTCACATATAAATACTTAGTTAGTTATAGTTAGTTAGCAAGAGCGTAGCTACCACATTTTGCCTGGGGGGGGGGGCAAAGCCACGTGCATGGTTTGTTCCAGGAGGGTGACCGCCATTGACCATGTAGTGTACCTACATTTCCTTGGCCACTGCCCCCCTTGCCCCCTGCTAGCTACGACCCTGGTTAGTTGGTTGGTTGGTTGGTTGCTTGGTTTGGGTTGGGTTGGGTTGGGATGGTTTGGTTTGGTTTGGTTTTGTTGGTTGGTTGGTTAACTTGGTTGGTTAGTTAGTTATTCTTGGCAAGATATTATCTGTTCAACAGTAAAACAGTTGAAAGCTGAGATAGTGGATAAGTCAGAGCCTACCTTTAGTGCTTTGAATGCTTGCTCACAGATCGCGATACCACGTGATTCATACACCTCTGTGTGGCCAAGGTACTGGAATATAGGGCAATGAAATCAAGCATAATACCAACTTAATTTATCATTTTAATTTTTAAAACGTCATTTTCAAATAAATCACATAATTGTTCCGGTTGAGTTGAAGAAAGACTGCATTCCACCTTCTTAAAATATTGAATATCATCCATAATTCTTATAATTTTAATTAATTTTAATTTATAAATTAATTATTAATTTAATTAAACTTAATAATATGAATATTATTAATTATATTTGTCTAGTAGATCATTAGAATGTCAAGGTTGACGAATGAGAATGGAACGGTGAGGATTGCGAGTTGGTGATGGAGATACAACCACACTTTGAAGAGCCTTGGACTTCAAACATCACCAACTTTTAAACCTTACGGCGTAGGGCTTGATTGGATTGAGTTGGATCATGGTTCATAGTTACGTGACATCGCATGAGGGCCAAGCAGGAGTGGATTGTTAATTGGGTGTATGTAGAATGAGCAGCTAGTGGGTGGGCATTTGGCTTACCTTAACTGGGAAGCAGCAGGTACCTGCTCGCACAGAGCCATCGTCCACCTGCCACTGCGGAGGCTTGTCTCCACCAACAGGACCACCACTGCTGGATCTCTGCCAACTCCTCCGTCTTTTAAATCTCAAGCTCTGTCGAAGTCTGCTCACAGTTCTGAAAGCAATCACGCATCCCAATGGAGTTGCATAGATATCGAGACTGTTACACTTGAGTCCATCTATGTGCCAATTATTTACATACAAAGACCAAGTAATTAAGGAATGTGGATGTGGAATGCCAACACTATGATAGCTGCTATAGTGTACGTATAAGAAAGGGACCGGACATTATTTATCCGGAGAGGGGTGTGAAGGTGCAACCATTCTAGGAGGTGCTCACTGGCAGAGCAGCTATCAAAACAAGCCTGATTATGAGTGGTAGCAAGGAATGTACGTGGAGTGGGTGCAATAACTATGGCAGGTTGGCGCACTGAAGGACTAACTTGTAGAAACACACTTATATTGGTATTATACAGTACATGGTTGCAAACCGATAGATCTGGACTATACAATAATACAGTGAATTTTTAGTAACACAGGAATTTTTATGTTCCTATGAATTTTCTACTCAGAAATCCTCTAATCTAATATTTTTTAAGTTTATAATTTTTAATGACTAACTATTAATAAAACACTATTTTACTTTATATCTCCGCTCATTATAATGACAGCTTTTCATGGGTTAGTAAACCTACATGAAGTCTAGCTCTAGAACTATAGCCCTCCGCTCAGCATGCGGCAGAGCGGAGGGCTATAGTTCTAGAGCTACATGAAGTCATGCATTGGAATAAATTCCGTAATATGATAGCCTAGCTATTATTGATGGCCCTAATAATATTGATGGTACCATGTTTTGCAGGGAACAATTTCCAGCCAAAAATTTGCATAGCAAATGTGCGATACAAAATACATTTTGCATAGCAATTGGATAAATTTGTATAGCATTTTCAGACAATCACAGTGCAAATTTACACCGCAGTGCATGCTTGGCGTGTTATCGTGTCGGCCTGTGACAGGCACAGCTAGTTTAAG